ACTGACTGCCCTATGTCCGGAAGCAATGGCACCACTGATCAGCCTCCCTGGGTAAACTAATTTAGGGAAAGCAATGGACACTGTCAGGATGTCGGTTCTTCCAAATATACTTTCCATCGACCTGCATCTGCTTCTTTTCCCCTCCAGACACTTAAGTATCGCAAGCTAGCCTCAAACTCATAATCCTCCTGCCTCAGCCTCCCGAGTGCAGTGACCACCACAGGTGTATACTGCCACACCCTGCCTCTTGATCTTAGTCTGCAGAATTGATGATGTTTGTGTCTCAGTTTTATGTCATAGAGGTCTTCTCTGGGCTCTACTAGGTTTAATAATAAGTGTTCTTTCTGTATTGACTAGATGGATAAATGGTGTTTTCTCTCCCATTTTATCTCTTGGCTGTCGTTCATGAGAATAAAAGCTATTATTTGGTTGTGAGCCTAGCTTTAACAGCTACAGGCTGTGGATAGTGGCGCACGCCTTTAATCCCAGCACTTGGGAGCCAGAGGCAGGTGGATCTCCATGAGTTCCAGGTCAGCCTGGTCTACAGAGCTAGTTTCAGGACTGGTTCCAAAGCTACACAGAGAAACCCTGTCTCAAAAAACAAAAACAAACAAACAAAAACTATTGATGGCTGGGTTGTTTTCTGTCCTACCACCATCTCTAATTGTTTGGGGGAGGGAAGTGACATTTATGATCTCAAGGAAATTCCACTTGTCCCTGCTCCACTGAACATGTGTTTCTTGTGTGAACATGTGGTGTGTGCAAGCATTTGCATCTGTGTATACATGTGTGGTGATGTGTATACATATATGTGCACACATGTGTGGAGGCCAGAGGTCGATGTGAATTTACCTCTATCATTCTATCTTAGTTTCTTTTTTAAACCACCTCACTGTGTAGCTCTGGCTAGCCTGGAACTTGTTACACAGACCAAGTTAACCTCCAACTCACAGGGATCCACCTGATCCTGCCTCTGCCTCCCAAGTGCTGGGATAAAGGCAGGTGCCACCATGACTGGCTCCAACTTTTTCTTTGAGACAGACTCTCGCTGAGCCTGGGGCTCACTGATTCAGCTAGACTGGCTGACCATCAGGTCCTGGGGTCCTTCTCTCTCTGCCTCCTCAGCCCTGGGTTTACAGGTGCATGCCGCCATATGGGTTCTGTGGATCCAAATCAGGTCCTTATGCTTACATATGCTTACACTTCACCCACTAAGCCATGTCCTCAGCCCCAAATATCATAATCTTGATGTCCGAGACTAAACTCTTGATTCCCCCTTCCTCTGAGGTCATATTCCCTGGGCTCCATGTTGGCCCAGTGTCACCACCCTCTTTGTCTCTCTGTCCTCTGCCCTTCCTTTCTACTCTCTCTCCATGATTTACTGTTATCAAAGCTTTTTATCTATCCAAGACTGGCTGTGGTGACTCAGGCTCATCATCCCAGCTCTGGGGAGGCTGAGGCAGGAGGATGGAGGAGTCTAGGTCAGCCTGGACCATGCAGGAAGATCCTATCTCAAAAACAGAAGCCGACCCAAACCACCCACATTCTTTCTGCTACATAAGAAGCAGTTTTGGCTGAACAGTGGTGGCACACCCCTTTAATCCCAGCACTCAGGAGGCAGAGGCAGGTGGATCTTTGTGAGTTCAAGGCCAGCCTGGTCTACAGAGTTGTTCCAGGACAGCCAGGGCTACATAGTGAGATCCTGCCTCAAGAAAAAAAAAAAATCCAGTTTTGCTTATTTAGTTTTTTTTTTTTTTTTTTTACATTTACTAATGCATGTGTGATTGGACAAGTGTCAAAGCATGTGTATGGAGGTCAGAGGACAACTTACAAGATTAGGTTCTCTCCTTCCACCTTGTGGGTCCTGGGGCTCAGACTCGGGTTATCAGCATGGTGGGAAGTGCCTTTTTTTCAATGACCCATCTTGCCAGCCCCGTGTAAATGCATGATTAAACTGACTTTATTATTCTTCTGAAAACTCTAAAAATAAAAATCACTAATGAACCTCCTCCAGGCTTGTAGCTTAACTAAATAAAGATCAGGAAATGTGATTCGGCTGTGGCTTTAGCTGCTGCGATGACAACACGAAATATGGTTGGTCCAGCCCAGTTGCTGCCACATCCTCCAGGCCACTCTCTCTTGCCCAGACTCAAACTGAATAAAACTGGCTTTTCTTTCTTTGTTCCCTCTGCTTGTTTGCTTGTTATTTTGTGTATGCATGCATACATTGTGTTTATGTGGATGCCAGAAGACAACTTTTGGGAGTCAGTTCTCTCCTTCCATCACATGGGTCCTAGGGATTGAACTCAGGTTGTCAGGCTTGGTGGCAAGCGCCCTTACCCACTGAGCCATTTCATCTGCTCCCCACAACACACTTTGTTGTTGTTGTTGTTCAGGAAGGATCTCATGTAGCCCAAGCTGGCCTCATAGTGTCTATGCCCTGCTAGGGATAGAACCCAGCATACTTCCTGTATGCTAGGCAAGCATGCCACCAAGGGAGCACAAAAACAGCTAAAGCTGGTTTTACCAATGTACAGCATGACTTAAAATGAGAGTCTGTGGGGCTGGAGAGGTGGCTCAGTGGTTCAGAGTACTGGCTGCTCTTCCAGAGAACCTGGGCCCCATTACCACATGGTGGCTCACAACTGCTGTCTAATTCCATTCTAGGGGATCCTACACCCTTACACAGATAAACATGCAAAAGACAATGCACATGAAATAAAAATAAATAAATCATTAAAATGAGAATCTGTAAGCACTCATACTTCAATTCTCCTCCATATTATAGGATGCTACAGTTTTCTTTTTCTTTTTTCTTTCTTCCTTTTTTTGTTTTTTGTTTTTTTAAGACAGGGTTTCTCTGTGTAGCTTTTGGAGCCTTTTCTGGAACTTGTTCTGTCGACCAGGCTGGCCTTAAATTCAGAGTTATCCACCTGCCTGCCTCTGCCTCTGGAGTGCTGGAATTAAAGGCGTGCATCACCACCACCAGGCTGCTACAGTTTGCTTATTATACTAGATTGCAGCCTGGACCATTACATTTGTCCAGAATCCAAATCCTGTCCCTGCCTTTAACACACCTTGGAAAACAAAGTCTGAGGGTGGGGCTGTCTGACACTGCTAAGAGATTGAGTGAGAACCATTGAGCTTGACTGCCAAGATTCATTGTACCCCATATACCGTTTGCCCTGCTGGAATCCGGACAGGCTTCCACAGAAAGAGACTCAAAGGCTGTTAGGCACGCTGGTTAGTGACTGGCATAGCAGAGACAGCAGAAAGCTGGGATGGAAGGAAGGAAGAACTCAGCTGAGAGTCAAGCCAACAGTCATAGAATCAGTGACGCTGGAACTTAGCACGGTGAACACACCAACACTGGGCACCTGCATGGAGCAGCCTACTGTCTCTAAAATCTCACAAGCTTTCCACCTGACTGAGTGAAAATGGCAGCCCAGGTTACTGTGCATGCTTTCCAGGGATGACTTTTTTTTTTTTTAAACAAGGGAAGATGATTCTTCTTCTTCTTCTTCTTCTTCTTCTTCTTCTTCTTCTTCTTCTTCTTCTTCTTCTTCTTCTTCTTCTTTTCTTCTTCTTCTTTTCTTCTTCTTCTTCTTCTTCTTCTTCTTCAGATGTATTTATTATGTATAGAGTGTTCTGCCTGCATGTATGCATACACACCAGAAGAGGTCACCAGATCTCATTATGGATGGTTGTGAGCCACCATGTGGTTGCTGAAAATTGAACTCAGGATCTCTGGAGGAGCAGCCAGTGCTCTAAACCTCTGAGCCATCTCTCCAGACCCCCAGGGATGACCTTAAACCAGGAAAGGGGCACACAGGTACAATTAGTAGCTTGCATTTACTTATTATTTGTTTTATTTCCCAGTACTGGCAGTTTTGTACATCTTAGGCAGGGATTCACCACTAAGCCACACCCCAACCCCTCACTTGGGGATTCTAGGCAGGTGCTCTACTGCTGATTCTAGGAAAGGACTGTCTTTAAGCTATATCCCAATCCTCTTTTCACGAGTGTGTGTGTGTGTGTATGTGTGTGTGTTGTGGTATAATTTCATGTAGCTCAGGCTGGTTTCAGACTTGTTATACAAGAGGATGACCCCCCAGACTTCTGATCCTTCTGTTCCATGACCAGTTAATGGGGAGCCAGGGATGGAACCAAAGGCATCATACATGATGGACAGGCATTCTACCCATTGAGATACACTCCAGCACACTTTTTATTTTGAAAGTATTTTTTTTTTTTTTTGGTTTTTCAAGACAGGGTTTCTCTGTATAGCTTTGGAGCCTATCCTGCACTCACTCTGTAGACCAGGCTGGCCTCGAACTCACAGAGATCCGCCTGCCTCTGCCTCCCGAGTGCTGGGATTAAAGGCGTGCGCCACCAACGCCCGACCTGAAAATATTTTTTTAAAGATTTATTTCTGAGGCCAGGTGGTGGTGGTGCATGCCTTTAATCCCAACACTCAGGAGGCAGAGACAGACAGATTTCTATGAGTTTGAAGCCAACTTGGCCTACAGAGTAAGTTACAGGATAGGCTCCAAAGCTACAGAGAAACCCTATCTTGAAAAACAAAAAAAAAAAACAAAAAAAAAAACAAAAAAAAAATTATTTGCAAGCCCAGTTCATGCCTTTAATCTCAGCACTCAAGAGGCAGGAACAGCCAGATCTCTGTGAGTTCAAGTCCAGCTTGGTCTATTTAGAGAATTCCAGAACAGCCAAGACTACATATTGAGACCCTGTTTTTTAGACAGGGTTTCTCTGTGTAGCCCTGGCTGTCCTGGGACTCATTCTGTAGACCAGGCTAGCCTTGAACTCAGAGATCCACCTGCTTCTGCCTCCCTCAGTGCTGGGATTAAAGGCGTGTGCCACCACCACCTGGCTGAGACCCTGTCTTAAAAACAACAAAAAAGCTTTTCCCGTGGCAGCGTTGCGCAGTGAGAAGCTCATGTTCAGAGTCGCAGTCCAGGCCGTCTAAGGATCCACTTTAGTCTGTGCAGGTCTTCAGACGCAAGAAGACGGCCACAGCCGTAGCGCACTGCAATCGGGGAAACGCGCTCATCAAGGGGAACAGACGCCCCCTGGCCCAGATTTGTGCCATCCGACAGTCCATCTCCAAAGCCCTGGTGGCTTATTACCAGGAGTATGTGGATGAAGCCTCTAAGAAGGAGATCAAAGATATCCTCATCCAATATGATCCGACCCTGCTTGTAGCTGATCCTCGTCGCTTTGAGCCCAAAAAGTTCGGAGGTCCTGGAGCCGGTGCTCGATACCAGAAATCTTACTGATGAGCCCATCTCAAAGATCAGGGTTATTTATCTTTGTAATAAACATCCTAGGGCTCTCAAAACAAAACAAAACAAAACAACCAAACCAAACCAAAGATTTATCCTTAATTTGAAGTGTGTGTGTGTGTGTGTGTGAGTGTGTGTGTGTGTGTGTGTGTGTGTGTGGAGAGAGAGAGAGAGAGAGAGAGAGAGAGAGAGAGAGAGAGTGTACATGAGTGCAGGCGCCCAGGCAGGCCAAAGGTGTTGGATGCCCCAGAGCTGGGGGCATGGGCAATTACGAGCAGCACCCTCCATAGGCGCTGGAAACTGACTGCAGGAGCAACAGGAGCCCTTGATGTGGAGCCATCTCTACACGCCCCCTCCTGTTACTTTTTATTCTGAGACAGGGTCTCACTAGGTTTCATTGACTAGCTTTGAGCTCAGCTGTGGCCCAGGCTGAGCTAGTCCTACCCAGGTCCTGACCATAGGGAGGGAGAAGTAGAAGGATGGAATAAACAAATAAATGAAAACAAACATCAAACAGCCTCTCCAAACATCTAACAACCAAGTGCTCATCTCCCTTGGTAGTAGTGGCTGTCAATTATTATTATTTTGGTTCTTCAAGACAGGGTTTCCCTGTGAAGCCCTGGCTCTCCTGGAACTTAGTCTGTAGACCAGGCTGGCCTTGAACTCAGAGATCTTCCTGCCTCTGCCTCCCAAGTGCTGGGATTAAAGACGTGTGCCACCATCTCCTGCCTATATTTTAATTATCAATTTGTTGTATGTCCCTGCACACACATGCATGTGCCATGGCACCTGTATGGCTGTCAGAGGACAATTTGCAGGAACCGTGTGATGGCTATTCTTGACTACATCTGGAATTAACTTAAACCCCCAAATAGGGCACACCTGTGAGGAATTTTAAATTATGTATGTGGGGTGGGTGTCTGTGTGTCAAGATATGCACATGAGTGCAGGTTTCCACAAAGGCCAGAGGGGCCACAGCCCCCTGGAGCACATTGTGAGTCACCTGCTGTGGGTGCTGGGAGTCAAACCGAGGTCCTCTGAAAGAGCAGCATGTGCTCTCAATCACTGAGCCATCCCTCCTGCCCCTGCTTATAAGTTCTCACACTGTTCCAGAAAGATAAAACAAGTCATTCCTTACTCAGGACAAGAACAGTCAGGCCAGCTTCCCCTCATATTCCCCTCAAGACCCTTGAAAATGTGAGTTGGGAGACAGCTCAGTAGAGAGAGTGTGTGCTTCACAAGTGTGGGGACAGGAGTTCAGATCCCCAGAACCCAAGTGAATAAGCAAGTGGGCATGGCAGCTGCCTGTAATCCTGGTACTCAGGAGGTTGAGACAGAGGAACCCCTGGTTAGCCAGACTAGTTAGTTGAATCCCCGAACTCTGGGATCAATTGAGAGCACCTGCCTCAATGAATAAAGTGAAGAGTGATTGAGGAAGATGCCTGATATCAACTTCAGGCCTACACACACACACACACACACACACACACACACACACACACACACACACACATATGCACACCATACACAAATATGTGCACACATACATACTCATACACACTCACATATACACACATGTATACACACATACACATGAAAAAAAGACACTTATAAACCATAGGAGATGACAAAGACCCTCCTTTTCAAGCTTGACTTTGGGAAAGGAATTTTAATTCACCCAAACACCCACTTCCCAAACTCATTTTGGAGCCGAGGAACTGAAGAGACCATTGTTATTCCCCAGCTATGGAAATGAGGTGAGGTTTCAGGGACACCACCTCTTCAGTGCCTCCCAGGAAGGGCCTGCAGCACTGTCAACCTCTATTCCAAAGAAGGCCTTTGGGTGACATCTTGTGAAAAGGACAGAAACTGCAACTCACACTCCTGAAAGGCAAGTCCGCTGTCCTTAGTCTCTAGTCTTAAAGACAGCCAGACTTTGGGCCCCACACAAAGATGGACTACATGTGATAACAGAAGTCAATTCAGAAATGGGAGGGAGCAGCCAAGATAGGGAGGATGACCCTTCCCAAAGCCAGGTCTAAGATGTCAAAGCATTTGAAGATGTGTCTGCCCCATTCGAGACAGGAGGAAGCCTTTGGCTAATGCACCAGCCCTATCCCAGGCATAGATCCCAGTAGCCTCCACAAAAATGAGTCCAATAGGCTTGTCAGGAGTGAGAGCTCTTGTCTGTAATCCCAGTACTCTTAGCACTTGGAAGGTTGATGCAGTAGGATTTCAAGTTCAAGGCTAGCTAGCCTGGCCTACATACTGGGATTCTGTTTCAACAACAACCCATAAATCAGCTTCCAGGTCTGGAGATAGCTCAGTGGTTAAGAACACTTGCTTCTCTTCCGGAAACCTGGGTTCAGTTTCTGGCACCTACACAGTGGCTCACAACCATTGCCATGTTCCAATTCAGGAGATATGACATCCTCTTCTGACCTCCAAAGACATCAGGCACACACAAGTGCAGACACATATGTGGGCAAAACACGAACACACACATACAAAGTAAAAGGCTGATTTTACACTCTGTAGAACCAGGGCTGTAGCTGACTGACAGGTGGGTAGTGACACCTCCAGATAGTATAGGGACTACTGGATTGTGTCCACTGGTGCAACTCTGTGCAGTCCTGCCAGCAGCAACAGGAATGGGGGGCAGTCTGAGGAATTTCTTTTAAAACTTTTTACTTCCTTTTATTTTGAAATAAAGGTTTATTTTAATTTTATGTATATGACTGTTTTGTCCTCATGTTTTCTGTGCACCTTGGCATGCAGTGCCTGTAGGGACCAGAAGAGAGCATCGGATTCTCCGGAACTGGAATTTCAGATGGTTGTGAGCCACCATGTGGGTTCTGGGAACTGAACTTGGATTCTCAGGAGAGCAGCCAATGCTCAGCAAACACTGAGCTGTCAAATTTCCTTAAATTACAAAAAAAAAAAAAAAAATCTTTTAGGGACTTTGATTCAGGTAAAACACGACCCTTGGCTTCTGTGCAGAAAGGAATTTCTGGACAAGCCATTGAGAAGCTGAGTTGGAGGTCTATTAAAAATAGAAGGTGGGTTGGGCTGTAGTTCACTTGGTAGCATGTTTGCCTAGCATGGGTGAAGCCTGGGTTCCATCACCAGCACTTTATAATCTGGCATAGTGAGGAATATCTGTAAGCCTAGTACCTGCAAAGTGGAGGCAGGAAAATCAGGAGTTCAAGACTACTCTTGAGGCCAACCTTGGATACTTGGGATATTGTTTCAGAAGAACAAGCAGGGTATGGTGGCTCACACACCCTTACTCTCAGCCTTTAGGAGGAAGAGGCAGGCAGATCCCTGAGTTCAGAGGCCACCATCTGTTAGGATAATGAGACACATTACAAAACAAAACAAAAATAAAAACAAAGATAAAAAGTCAGCAAAGCAAATAATAAACCACGAATAAGAGTATGGATGTGGGCTTTTTAATTTTTTTTTCAAGACAGGGTTTCTCTGTTTAACAGCCCTAGCTATCCTGGATCTTGCTTTGTAGACCAGACTAGCCTTGAACTCACAGAGATTCACCTGCTTCTATCTCCCAAATGCTGGGACTTAAAGTGTGTAACACCACACCTGACTGGCTTCTTAATTTTTTACGTTTTGTATTTTTTATGTGTGCATTAGGCTTGCATTTACGTATGTTCACCAGTATGTGCCTGGTGCCTACGGAGGTCATAAGAGGGATTCAGATCCTCTGGGACTGTAGTTAGAAGATAGTTGTGAGCTACCATGTGGGTGCTAGGAATTGAACCTGGGTCTTCTTAACCTCTCTCCAGCCAGGCTAACTCTCCAGCCCATTAGTGTGGGCTTCTTCTTTTTTTTTTCTTTTTCTATTTTTTTTTTTTTTTTTTTTGGTTTTCCGAGACAGGGTTTCTCTGTGTAGCTTTGGAACCTATCCTGGCACTTGCTCTGGAGACCAGGCTGGCCTTGAACTCAGAGATGAGCCTACCTCTACCTCCCGAGTGCTGGGATTAAAGGCGTATGCCATCAACACCTGGCTAGTGTGGACTTCTTAAAGATCAGTGGTTTATTGACTCATGGTGACTATATGTAGGATTTTGGCATTTTTTTCTAAAGATTTATTTATTATGTATTGTGCCAGCATGTATGCCTGCAGGCCAGAAGAGGGCACCAAATCTCATTTCAGGTGGTTGTGAGCCATCATATGGTTGCCAGGAATTGAACTCAGGACCTCTGGAAGAGCAGTCAGTGCTCTTAACCTCTGAGCCATCTCTCCAGCCCCGGATTTTGGCATCTTTTGGAATCTTTGCTACTTAATGGGTTTTTAGGGGACACCCCTTCCTCTATCTCTGCTCCCTTTTCTATAATTGAAATCATAGGGTGGCTCTAGAAGTGCCTTGGATAGGAATATAATCTTTAGGATTTTCAAAAATTTGTATGCATGTGTGTGTACATGTGGGTGCAGGTACCAATGGAGACCAGAAGAGGGCATCAGAGCTCCCTTAAGGTAGAGTAAAACTGTCAGCTGCCAGACATGGGTGCTGGGAACTGAACTCTGATCCTCTTTGGGAGCAGCAAGCTGAGGAAAGCAAGGCCATAAGCAATGATTTACTATGTTAGAATTCCTGTTCCTCAGTTGGTTAAGTCTTCAAACAGACTCCTGTGTTAGTAGTTCCTTAACCTTTTTCTTGCTAATTTTCTCCATCCTTCAATCTGGCCTCAGTCCCACTTCCCATCTGTGCCTCTGGGAGGGTTCTGTGGGTGTCCAAGGCCATGCTGGAGCTCATTAAATGACACATATCACTCTGCCTAAAAAAAAAAAAGTAAATAAACAAATAGGTAAAATAAATTAGTTTTATTAACCATCATATATAAAGTACTTCAACACATAAACAATGTCTTCTATTTGATATTGTCTTCAAAGCCTGGTGATTTTGTTTTGCTTCCTTTGTCTCAGATGAGATAGGCAGGTGCTTTACTACTACACAATGCTCCAGACCTGAGGGGTTCTAGGCACGTGCCCTCCTATAGAATCATGGCCCCAGCTCCTCACTGGCCCTAACCTTTCCCAATGTACTTGATTTTTCTTTATGTGTTTAGTCTGTGCCTTTGAGTGCAAGTGTCCAGAGGACAGAGGAATTGGATGCCCCTGGAGCTGAAGTCTCTATATAATTGTGAGGCATCCAATGTGGATGCTGGGAACTGAACTCTTGTAGTCTCAAAGAGCAGTCCAACTTTTAAATCACAGGGCCATTGTCCAGGCCCACCCAGTGTGCTTTTAATTCTCAATCTGGAGTCATTTCAGCTCAGGCATTTTTATTTCATAAAATGGTTAGGAGGTAGATCCATACATCCAGGTCCCTCACATACTTAAACACTGTCTAATTAATGAACCCAGCTATTTTAAAACTGAAGTGGAATTAAAAGCTCCGCTATGCTGGCTACCACCATCCTGGGAAGTGGAGGCACAGGAAAACAATTTGCCTCAGTGTCCCCACATAGAACAAGATCCAGGCAGTGGTGCTAAGAGCAAACCCTGTATCCCCTCAGATCTAGCCAGAGACTGGGGGTAGGAGGCAGTGCAATGAAGAGTCAGGAGCTCTACCGATGTGGACCCTGGAGATGCACTGGCTTAGGACAGTCACAGTCAAGTCCTTGGAGAACAGACTGAGTAGAACCCACCCCAACCTCACGACCACAGCCAGAGGCCACACAACCTGCAGAATGCTGCTAGGTATGTAATTCAGAGTTTAGCTTTCCCAAAAGTGTCAAGAAATCATGGTTAAGGGCAAAACTGACTTGGGCAGCTGGTCCCATGTCATCCCTGACACTCAGTGATCATCAGGATCAATCTAGTGCTGGTGTCCGTCACACCAGGGTACTCAAGACATACTCTTTCCCCACAATGTCATGGGCAGCTGGTGGTAGAAGTGGTCAAGCTATGCAGGTGACACAAGACCGATGGTGGCTGCACCCTGCGCCCATCCCCACTGTTCCTCAAAGAGCCCAAGAAGGATGCCCTCTGCCTGCTACCATGGCACTTCAGCACGTGGGAAGTTTCTATTTCAATACCAGAAGTTCCGAGATGGCTCCCATTCCATGATGCTCTTCTTGGAGTTAAACCTGTACCTTCACTTGGGAGGCAAGAGGCAGGCGGATCTCTGTGATTTCCAGGCCAGACTGGTTTATAAAGTAATTTCCTGGATACCTGGAGCTACACAGTGAGACCGTCTCAAAGAAAAACCCTGAACCCAGGCATGAGGAGTCATGGCATGGTTAAGCTGGTTGCTTTAGTCAACTGTGGAGAGATTACTGCAGGCCAAGTGCACACCCCTCCCCTCTCCACAGCAGCTTTTAGCTCTGGCCCAAGGTTAGGAAAGGGCACTACACTGACTTGTGTTCTTGGGCACCATGAGTGGACTGTGCCCCACAAGCATCTCATTACTGAAGCCATGTAGGGAAGAATGTAGAGCCATCAGCAGTTCTTTTCTGTTACAGGACAGAATTTCCCAGAACACCAAGTCCTGGAATGGTTTAGCACAGGCCACGGCTAATAAGGTTTAGACAGATCCTCAGCTCCTGAGCTCAGCAGCTTGCTATGGTAACCTAACACACCTCCAAGTGATGAACATTTATTTATTTTGTTAAATAATTTGTGCATTGTGTGTGTGTGTGATGCTGGTAGTGAATCTCCAATGTCCCTCCCCAGTAAGTGTCCACCTTGTTTCTCGAGGTGGTATGTCAGTCTCTCTCTGGTGGTATGAACTCCGCAATTAGGCTAGGCTGCTGGTCACAAAGGCCCAGGGATTCTCCTGTCTCCACCTCCCAAGTGTTGGGATTACAAGTGTGCAACAACCCCCAATCTGGCTTTTTTAAAACACGGATTCTTGGGAAAAACTAGGTCCTCATGATGTAAGCCATCTCCCTGCCCTAACTTTAACAGTCAATGGGAGACTTTTCCATAAAGACTCCATGTAACAGCAGAATCAGGAAAGTGCCGGAGGCCACATCACCAAGGTTAAAACCCAACAGAAAGGAGTTGGTGCGAGGTCCAGACAGGAGCCACGCTGTCACTTCACGGTTCGCCTGAAAAAGACGAGAAAGAAGCGATGGGTGACCACACAGGTCAGAACTGCTTAGAAGGGGTCTGTCATGAAATAGGGCCGAAGACATTCTAGAAACAGCTACTGTGGCCAGGCCTGGCCTTTCTTACGGAAGCACACCACATCACACGTTTGAGAGACACAGCTGAAGTCTCACATGCTATTTAGACTAGTACCTGAGTTGCTGGGCCAGCCAACTGATTCCTGACGGCTTCTGCTCAGGAGCTCTGGATGCTGAAGGTCTACAGAGAAAGTCAGATTTGTGTTTATTATATATATAATAATATATAATATATATATATATTTATTATATATAATCTCACCCACATCAAGAAAGCCCACCTCGTCTATGCAGGCAGACAGTAGGGCTCCAGCCTGGATCATACACAAACAGCTTGTGAAAGTCAAGTGTAACTACAAGTAACGTAGCTGTCCTCTGACCTCCATATGCCTGCTGTAGCATGTGTAACCTCTTACCCCCAACAAAAGATGAAAAACTAAAGGTTTTTGGGGCTGGCAGACAGCTCAGTGGAGAGTGCATGCTACACAAGCCTGGGGACTTGTTTAATTCCCAGCACAATGTAAAAGCCAGATGCTAGCATGCATCCCGCAATCCCAGGGATCATACAGTGGTATGGGCGGTAGAGGCAGGGACTTCCAGGTGAGCTCTCAGGTCAGCCAGGCTGGCACACGCCACAGCAAACAAGAGGCCTGGGTCAAACAAGGTGGAAATCAAGGACCAACATCCATGCACACTCCAGTGTGTATATGGTGGGCAGGCGGGGTTGTACACACACACACACACACACACACACACAGAGAGAGTAAGTTACGTTTCATTTTGGTTCAGGAGTGAATGCAGACAGAAGTTTATAAAAGTAGCAATAAGGGATGTCCTGTGCCCCTTCCCACAAAAGATGTGCCAATGTCCTAACCCAACCCCTAGCACTCAGGAGGGACCTCATAGAGACAAGTCTTCACTGAGATGACCAAACTGAGCATCAGTCACCCTGGTCATCAGTCAAGACAGCAGGCCACACAACCAACAGTGTCCTAACAGAACAGAGGCAGGATGTAGAAAGGCCCTTGGGAAAACCACACCAAGACCAAGGCAGAGATGGGAACAATGTGCTACAAAGCCAGGCTCATCAGGGAGTACTGGGCAAACCAGAAATTGGGAGCGGAGGGGCCTCTTAGAAGAAGCCAGCCAGTTGTCTTGGCCCATGAAAGAATAAATTCCTGATGTTGAAGCCCCCAGTGTATGGCAGCTGCAGGACTAACTTCACAGGACACCAACTCTGACTGTGATCTATGCTTCTCTCTGCATGGCAGGCTGCACACCAGATCAGCAGCACTAGGAGCCCATGCTCACCTCTCTTTGCTGGCCGAGCTGCTCCCAGCTTGGCAGTTGTGGTCCAGAGGATGCCGGTGCTGAATGCAGAAGTTGCCATGGCATTGTGCACAAGCCAGCTGCAGCATCTCCTTCTTCCTGCATCCCTCTTTTGAGCATCGATGTGTGAAAACCTGTAAGAACAGTCATTTCTGTGAGCAGCATGTCACCAGGCCAGCTGGAACGGACCCTGGCAGTTGGGCCTGATGGCCCAGGCTTGTGACTCTAAGTACTCGGAGAGTCTGATTTAGGAGAGAACTGACTCCACATATGTGCAACGGCCCTCAACACACACACACACACACACACAAACACACACAACACACACACACACACACACACACACACACACACACACACGAAGCTTATGGTTGTGGCTTACCAGCAGATTCATTCCCCAACACTGCCCATTAAAAACAAAAACAAAAACCAAAACCTGAGGCTAGGGAGATGGCTCAGTGGGTAAGAGCACTTGTAAGGGGATAAAGATCGAAGATCAGATCACCGGCACCCATGTAAAAAGCTGGGCACAGCTACACATATGCCTGCAACCAGAGCCTATGATGGACAGGGACGGGGGTGGGGAGATGTCATCACTGCAGCTTGCAGGCTGTCAGCCTAGTTGCAGGTTCAACAAACTGTCAGAAAGGAATAAGGCAGGGAATGAGAGAGCAGGCCAGGAGGCATCTGGCCTTCGCACGTTCATGCAAGGGCAATGCATACACATATATATACATGTGCATACACAAACCAAAATAAAAAAAATTATTGCTTTTTCTCTTATTTCTTTCTTAAAAAAAAAAAAAAAAAAAAAGACAGGGTCTCACTACGTAGCCTTGGCTGGCCAGGAGCTCGCTATGTACCATGCTGGCTTTTACTCAGTGTTCCCCCGCCTCTGCCTCCCAATTGCTGGAATTAAAAGCACACACTACATCTGGCTTTTTAAAAGTTGCTTTAAAAGGTAAAATAAAAAGCTAACAAGCCCTGGGCACTCAGAATGAGGATGCCAAGGTTCTGTTTAGACAGCTTGTGCCAGGTGAGAGGCAAACACTGACTATGGAGTCAGCAAAGCTGGGGCATCTGGGGGAGGCAACAGGAAATTTCCTGGAGGACTAGGCAGAAAGAAAAATGGCAGGGAGGGAGGCAAAGTGAGAGGGGGACAGCAGTACCATGAGGGCAACCGGCTCAGGGGTTCTGGGACAGTGGTTTCTAAGGATTTAACTCAGGTTGTGAGGCCTGCATGACCAGGCAGAAAGCTTTATCCATGGAGCTGCTCCCCAGCCCGTGTGTGCACGCATGTGTGTATAGAAAGCTCCTCTAGAAGCTACAGTTGAAATGTGTGTGTGCTTACTCCAGAAAATGGTCAGGCAGGCCGAGGCCGAGCATCCAAGAAAACAAGCAGGAGAAAAACACAGGAAGAGCTCCCATGGAGGAGTGGCTGGGATGTGTGAGGGCTCCTGGGCCTGCAGCTCAGGCCCTAGGAATGTGTGGCCTGCAGAAGGCTGCTAAGGAAGGGATCTGCAAATGTTAAGGTTCTTCCCCTAGTGAAATAAACAAAATGGCAACAAAGAGGTTTCCCTAAAAGGAACAAGTCTAGAAAAGCAAACAATCAAAAGAGCGAAGCATGATGGTGCAGGCCTGTAATCCCAGCCTTCAGAGAGCTGAGGCAGGAGGGTCAGGAGTAAGCTAGACTAGGTCTCAAAAACAAGAAGGAAGGGAGGGAGGGGAGGTGAAGCTGAGGCATAGGAGGAGGAAGAAAGGGAGGGAAGGGCTGTAGCCAGATTTGAGAAGCTAAAATCACTAGCAGGTGAGAGAAGACCCAGCTGTTAGCTGGAAGAGCCTCAGAGCAAGCCTCTGAGGAAACAAAGCACAATGGGCAGAAACGGCCACTGGGAGGCTGGGCGCAACAGGACCACATCCTAAAGAGGCCACAGGCCCACCTTTAATAGAGGCACACCTGAAGACCTAGTCAGATAGAGGCTGCTAGCAGAATGGAGGCAGCTAGTGCTCAGCTCAGAGGCCAACAGACCTCACTTGTGCTGCCGTCTGGGTGGCAGGGGACATACCTTCTCTGAGAAGTTCCATTATTAAAAAACAAAAACCCCCCCCCCCCCCCCCCCCCCCCGCAGGAAAGGACCAAGAATGTGACACATTTCTTCTGACTCCAGAGGGAGTATGGAAAAGGAGAGTTAACAGAAGGTTCTAGAAAGCCTTGTCCTCCTTCATATCAGAAGAGACACTTGGGGATTCATGAAGACAAGGACCTAAACTGTGAGGCTTGGGAACTGTTTCCATGCAGCAAACTCACCATTCACAATGCAGTGGCTTCCCACTGACTGTCAGCACTCCACACTTTGCTTGCCCAACGTCTGGGGCTGGATCCCCAACACTGTATAACAGGCATGGTAGTGCTTGAATGTAATACTGGTACTCAGGAGAGGGAGCCAGGGGGGATTAGGAGCTCAAGGTCATCCTTGACTATACAGCAATACTAGCCTAGCCTGGGCAATGTAAGATGCTGTTTCAAAAGAAAGAAACTTGATCCCCCCCCTCCCCAAAAGCAGCAGCAACAGTACTATATTGTTTTAGCCCTAACCAAACTCTCACCTTCTTTTTGTTCCTCCCAGGGTGAAAGGTGCAATCTCTGTCCATGTGCTCTCCAACCACCACATCTGGGATCTCGCCTCTTTTCATAGGGATGGGGACATTACAGAGGGGACACACGGGAACCTGCACATCCTGAAATAATGAACACACAATGACACCAAGACTTACATTCAAATGTCACAGATAGGCAGCAGGCAGACACAGACACAGACAGACACACAGACACACACAGGCACACAGGCACACAGGCACACAGACACACAGACACACACACACACAGAGAGAGAGAGAGAGGGGGGGGTAAAATGCATTTACAGTGGGGAACACTGGTGAGGACAAGAAACTATAGGCTGGCAGGATGGTATCTTATAGCATAATAGTAAACCACCCAAAGTTGTCTAGTGGGATTTAAATGCAAAAAGGCCACCATCAGCTTTGGAGGGCCCTCAAGAGAGGAAGCTGGTGAGATGGGGGTGGAGGCGAGGCATGACATGGCTGTGGGAGGGGACCCACCTGACCCCTCAGAGGCAAGGTGACAGGTGGAAACACTGGCAGGAAGGGTCCCAGCAGTCACTCTGTGTAGCCTCTCTGATCCTCAGTGGCTTTACAAGCAGGGAGATAGCCTCAGCAAGGGACAGGCTATACCCCACTGTCGACTGCCAGCCACTGAGGGGGCTCTGGAGGGAGTGAAGGCAAAACTCTGAACCAGGACCACTGAGCACTGAGGGAGGGGGTCCATGCCAGAGAGGATGGAGCAGCTGATATCAGATGCAAACAGGGATCATAGGCTTGTGTGGCCTGCTGTCTGCAGGAGGGCTGCCTCAGTTGACTGATGTGCCCACCAAGAAACAGATTCCTATGTGATCACTGGATAGACATTTCCCAAGATGGATACAAGGAAAGGTCCAGATGACACACAAACAGGGTGCCTCCTAGTCATCAGTGCCTGGTTAGCAGAAATGTGAGTCACCTACCCCACCCACCTCAATGACTTGGCTGGACTATGGCCAGCCCTGGTTAAAGCATGTGACAAAGTCACCCACTGTCCATATGCCACCAGGGGAAGTGGCAGAGTTCACTGACATAACTATGAGTCACCTTTGTAACAGAGTGAACCCCTGGTCTTGAAGAGCCTGGGGTTCTAACAGGCACCTCCCAGTGTCTGCTGGGCAATGTGGGATCGCCTAAAAACTCCTGCTACAACCACCCGAAGGAATAAGAAACTTTGACACCTGCTGTTCCTTGTTGCAGGGGAATCCACAAATCAAGTGTGTGAAGGTGAAGTGCCAACTATGAAGGTTTGAATGTGCGACACACATACTGAAGGTGCCATCTGAGGGCTGGGAGACAGTCTAGTTGGCAAAGATACCCAAGCAAGCACCATGACCTGAGTTCCACCTCCAGTTTGGTAGAATATGCTGGTAATCCTAACACTGCAGAGGTGGAGACAGGAGGATCCCTGGGATTGCTAGTTAGCCAGCCTAAACTGGTGAACTATAGGCAGTAGTGACTATCTCAGAAAACAAGGTGAATGGGTTGTCCTCTACTCACCCCTCACACACAGCACAATTTGGCTGAGTGGGTGCAGACTTCCCTATGGGCCTTGGGGGTCACAGCCTACAGCCACAGTCCTGACTTCCACACAAACACATTATCTGGAGATAGCACACCAGCATGGATTACAGGTTGCAGAGGCAATCATGGGCTCTTCTGACTTCCTGACTGTCCCAGAAGACTGCTACTGTGACTGTCTGCACCTACCAGGGACAGCTCGGAGCACAAACACTCCAGTAGCTATGTGAATCAGTCCTCCTGCACAATCTTGTAGCACATAGATACACTAAATATTGGTCATCGCCCTCCACGGCTGTTTATTCCCTTACATGCCCAGTCTAAAAGGGGCTGGGGAGATGGCTCAAAGACGCCAGCACCCATCTAAGAGTGAGGTGCTTTTTGCTGTTTATATGTTTGTTTTGAGATGGGGTTTTCTTTTGTGTAGCCTTGACTGTCCTGGAATTCACCCTGTAAACTGGGCTGGCCTTGAACTCACAGATCCACCTGCCTCTGCCTGCCACTATGCGGGGCTGGCAGCATGCACTTGCAATTCCAATGCTGGGAAGGCAAAGACAGGAAGACCTTGGGGCTTGCTGGCCAGCCACTCTGGCTACTTGGTAAGCTCCCAGATTCAATAAGAGAATTTGTTTCAAATTGTTTCAAAAAAGGTAGAAAGCAGCTGGGTGTGGTGGTGCACGCTTTTAATCCCAGCATTTAGGAGGCAGAGATGGACAGATCTCTGAGTTTGAAGCCAGCCTGATTGACAGCAAATTCCAAGCTATCAGAGCTATGAAGTGGGACCCTGTCTCAAACAACTAATAAAAATAAAAGTAAAATTAACATAAGTAGCTGCAGTGGCTGGTATCCACTGGCCCGATGTGATGTACACTATATTGCTGAACTGTCACCTGAGTTCACAGAGAAGCTGGCTCTGGAAGCCATGCTGCAACCTATCCCCACCCCATTTCAAACCCAATCGTGTTTGTCTCAAAATGTCCTCCAAGACTTCTTGACTGGGGATGGGTCAGTCCCCCTGTGACAGGCAGAAGAGAACAGCAATGCAGACCAAGATAAAGAACAGCAGTGCAGACCAAGTAAAAGCACCATGTCATGGAGAATAACAGCTAGAAGGGACCACTGCCTGCCCTGTGATAGGGAAGTACCTGGAGCGGGAACAGAACACAGCAATTGGGAATCCCCCAACCTCCCCAGTCTGTTTCTGCTGGATGTTCTGGTGCCCAATTGGACAATGTTTCACTATTCATCCGTCCATCTCCCCTTCCTGCAGCTCTCTCTCGATACTGACTCTTTTACCTTGGCTGGCTACACACTTAATAAACCCACTCATTCAACACTCAAAGGATGCTTGTCAGAGACCATTCTCTGACCTGCAGGCAGCAACTGGACAGAACGGTTCTGGCCTAGACCCCAGGATGATGAGTTTTAGTTACCTTCTTGAATGCAAAGGGACACTTATGACCGGCATAGGAAAAATGGTCTTTACAGAAATCTTGTTTACATGCGTCACATGTTACTGGCAGAAAATCTAAAAAACAAAAATCAAGACAAAACAGTAAATCCTCTGAAAGATTGGGGAGACTGGGTTTTTTGTTTTGTTTTTTGTTTTTTTTTGGTTTTTCGAGACAGGGTTTCTCTTTGGAACCTATCCTGGCACTTGCTCTGGAGACCAGGCTGGCCTCGAACTCACAGAGATCTGCCTGCCTCTGCCTCCCAAGTGCTGGGATTAAAGGCATGCGCCACCAACGCCCGGCCCTCTGAAAGATTGGAACCAAAGAATTACATACCATCCAAAGCAGGAATGTATCTACATTAGACTCCTCATTCCTTTAAAGAAATATACACATCCTGGAAGTGTCACATGTGAGAGAAAACAACTTTAGGGAGAGGAAATTAAAAAAAAAAAAAAAAATTGACATGGGTCTTATTTAGCCCATGCTGGACCAGAACTCACTATGTAGCCTAGGAGGATCTTGAATGTCTGTTCTTCCTGCCTGCCACTCTCCAGTGCTGGGATTACAGGCATGAGCCACCACACTAGTTTCACGTGGTGCTGGGATGGAATCCAGAGCTTCATACACACTGGGCAAAGAGTTCTACCAACTGAGCCACAATCCCAGTCTCAAAGCTAGAAATGTAAGACCAAGAGACACCAAAGGACCCACAAAGCTATCTTTTCAACACAGATTCCATCTCTTGTGGTATACTTGTATCTGCATAGCCCTGGTGGCTATTGCCTGACCTTAGGTGGATATTAAACTGCAGTGTTTAACAGACCCTGTGCCCTGCACCAGAGTCCTCTTGCTGAGAAGCCAAAGACCAGGACTTTAGTTAGTTAACGATATAATAGCCAGATGTCCCTCACAAAACCACCAATGAAGCCGGGCGTTGGTGGCACACATCTTTAATCCCAGCACTCAGGAGGCAGAGGCAGGCAGAGCTCTGTGAGTTCAAGGTCAGCCTGGTCTCCAGAGCGAGTGCCAGGATAGGCTCCAAAGCTACACAGAGAAACTCTGTCTCGAAAACCAAAAACCAAAAACCAAAAACAAAAACAAAACAAAACAAAAAACCCAAAACAAAAACCCATCAATGAAATACCATTTCTTAGAAGGAGCCCTTGAAAGTTCTTACCCAGCTGCTTGCAAGTCGGTTCTGAGCAGTGCTTCCCCAAGTCAGGAAACTCCATTATGAACACAGTGTGATAAGTATTAATCACCTGTGGGAATTTGAAATGAAGAGAATGAGGCCCTGATCTACATAGCAAGTTCCAGGCCAGTCACAGAGATATAGTGAGACCCAGGCTCAAAAAGAAAAAATCCAGGGCTAGTGGTTAGTGATCGGAATCTTAGTGTTGAGGAGTCGGAGACAGGATTCACTGACAGATTATCTTATTTCAAAGAAAACAGTGTATGGCTTCTAAGGAATGACACCTGAGGTTCTTAGCTTAATAAGAGAATGCTTGCCTAGCATGGGGGAATGGGGAGTTCTGGGTTCAATCCCCAGCTCTGGCAAAAACAAATGTGGTGAGAATGAGAAGGGTTTTCCATATTCAATTCATAGCTGCCACTGGAAATCGCAGTCTCTTTGGATTTCAAGTTGCAGTTTCATCTCCTCAGTACACTTGTTGACATCAACAAGATTCTATTCCCAGGTGCTAAATGACATTAGTTGACTACACTCCCCAGTGTGGTCTGTCCCTTGTGTCTTCTTCCCTTATGCATTGAGTTTTACTTTGTGCTTACTACTTAATGATATCAGGCCAGAGCTGATTAGGGAAGGAGGCTCGAGCCATTAATTACCCACAAGAAATAGACAACTAAAAAGGCTGGCATCCTGGAGACCAGGCTTAAGTCCAAGTCTCTATGTTCTGTCATCCATGAAATGGTTCATAACTCTTGCACTTTCCAGAGTTCAAGTCCCCCAGAGATCTTTTCACATCTTCCTATCACTTAATTTGTCCACTGGGAACTTCTAATCTATTCCTTGTCTAGAACTCTTAGGTTTCAGTAAACATCTATTTGCCTTACAAAGACTAAGCGGCAGCACCACTTTCTCAACATCCTTCCTACCACCTGCAGCCCCCATTCACCTCCCGCCCTCGGCTCTTCCCTTCCAAGTGGATTTAATTGCTAACTCATTCCCGCTGGCTAGAAAACCTTTTGGCTTCATGCTCAACAGAACCCACATTATGAAATGTTTTTATTCAAAGATACCAGCGTCTGATGCTATTACCAAATGACCATCCATTGTTTCTTTTCTTTCGTTTTTATTATAGGGGAGGGCAGTCTTTCTTATGTAGCCCCGACTGTCCCGTAACTCATTTTGTAGACCACGCTGACCATCAACTCGGAGATCCGCCTGCTTTTGCCTCCAGGAGTGCTAGGATTAAAGGTGTGAACCACTGTGCCCAGTTCGTAGGCTGTTTCTTGAGAAAGGGTCTTCATTATTTATCTCAGAATAGCCCGGCTCTTGCGATCTAATGGCTCAACCTCCCCAGAGCTGAGACTACAGGCCTGCATCACCACGCCCAGCCCACAACACTGGTTCAGGACAGTTGACCTGGGGATGTAAAATGTCATTGCGCTAAGACAGTAACTCCTTGCTGCTCAGGCCAGAGGAAAACACAACGCGAAGACGCCGGCCCCAGGTTTACTAGCTCCTGTGACCCTCTCCTCAGCAGCACCTGTGACCCCAGTTCGGCGCGGCCTACAACGACACACCTGTACCTGGCTCTCGTGGGTAGCCGGAAGCCGGCGGTGGAGACAGACAAGCGTTGTCCTCCTTCTTGGTCAGCCCGGCGACACCGCAGTAAGAACTGTGGCACCAATCCCCGCGTGGCACCCGACTTCTCGCAAGGCCGGAAAGCGTAGCATTGCAGCAGCTGCACCCAGGGCCATTTATCCTCATTCAACAGATACAGAGTCATGCATCCTGGGCGTTCCCGGCGCGCTCCGATGACGCCATGCAAATGTCAACCAATCCCGTAACAGCTAGGCTAGGCTCGCCGGCGCGCCCAAAACGTCACCGAAGGTGAGCCAATACCTTCGCGCTGTGAGGCCCCAGAAGGCCGCATCGTGATTTTTGTCACTCGCCGTGAGACCAATCTGGTGGGTCCACGGCTCGGTCCCACCTTGTTCTCCGCCTCTCTTCTGGAACAGTCGCGCAACATCTCTGTCCTGGGCTGAGTCATGGTGAAGCAGCTCAGGGTGAGGTGACCCGCCAGTACCAGGGAGGCTGAGACAGGACTGGGCCGGGGGTCAGAGTCCTGCGGCCGGGTAATCCCCGTCGGTAGGCATCCTGAGGATTGGAGCTGCCGTATGCACAGAGTTGGTGGCCCATTTGTGAAGCTGTAGGGATCCCAGGACTGGGGGAGACAAAACACCTGTGCCAGGTCTTGGACGTGAGATCCAGTTTAGAGATGGAGTACATGATGGTACCCAAAATGCCAGGTGCGGCGTGGTTGGAGCATCTTCGCTGTATGCATGTGGATTAGGCAAGATGTTCAAATGTTGGTGATCCAAGTGTTATGTCCAGATCGTGGAGTCCCCCAGAGACCAACAAGTAGACCGAGTCCTGTATGTAAAAGTAAAGAAACTTTATTTAAGCCCAAGCTTAGACTCTTCGCTTGCCCGACACAGCAGTTGAGAGCAGAGAGTGCCCAGCCTGGGCAGGGTAGGGTTTTTGTCATATAGAGGTTGGGGATGAGGACATTTTCAGGGTTCAAGACCCTGATTGGCTGACATTTGTCTAGGGGTGTCTTGGTTAAACGGGATGGGTGTGCACTAGGCTGAGGGACTGAAATGGTTGGAACATTAAGTACTTTGTCCTTGGATGATCCGTCCCTGGGTGCTGTCCAGGGGGTCCCAGCTTGTGGTCTCTCCTGGAGTCAGATGTTGCCCCAGGGTAAACTGAAACTTCAGGCCTACTTTATGGTTGGTCTCCACTGAGCCTTGGCATGGCAGCAGTGCAGCTAAGAAGCAGGTGTGTACCAAGTTGCCCTGGGCCCCACACCAAGTCTTGAGTACCAAAGGCCTATGAGTTGGGCTAACAGACCCAAAATACTACATCTCTGTCCTGGTTATTTATTTATTTAGCCAAATTGACATAAGGTAGTTATGTGAGAAGAGGGGACCACAGTTGAGAAATACCTCTATCATATTTGCCTAGGGGCCATTTTTATTGCCACTTTATAACTCTAATTTTGCTGCTGTTATGAACTTGCACGTAAATATTATGGGGGATAGAGGTTTGTCAAATGGGTCATGACCCACAGACTGAGAACCACGGTGCTAAGGCCAGAGACTTAACAGCCTTAACTGAGTTTGGAGGCTTCCTGTTCTGGATATTGATTGCCAGTGGGGCCGGTAGTATAATCCTTAGCTGTAAGTAGCAACTAGCAGCCACAGGCAAAATTTTAGGTTTGTCTGTGTAAAACACAGCCCTCATCTCAAAAACAAATGAGAGTGTTTATACTGAAGCCAAATATGAGTGACTGTAGCACAGGAAGAGTCAGTTTACCTCAAATATCTTGTTCTGATGTAGTAAAAGTTTTACGGAGTTTTTCTAGTAACAGGAAAGAAAATGATAAATGGAGACACTTAAAATGCCTTGGTGAAGCCGGTCGGTGGTGCCGCATGCCTTTAATCTCAGCACTCGGGAGGCAGAGGCAGGCAGATCACTGTGAGTTCGAGACTAGCCTGGTCTACAAGAGCTAGTTCCAGGACAACCTCCAGAGCCACAGGGAAGCCCTGTCTCGAAAAACCAAAAAAAATAAAAAATAAAAAAAAATGCCTTGGTGAGCCTGGCGGTGGTGGTGCATGCCTTTAATACTAGCACTTGGGAAGCAGAGGCAAGCGAATCTTGGTGAGTTCCAGAACAGCCAGGGCTACACAGAGAAACACTGTCTCGAAACACCAAAAAAAAAAAAAAAAGCCTTGGTGGAAACCTCAGGTAGGTGGATTCCAGCAAGTGGGGAGGCCTCTGTTACAGGCCTCAGATGATACTTGACAACATTCTTAGCCTCTGGGTTGGTGAAAGCTGGGTCCATTTGTACATTCCAAAAGTATTTACCTAATATGGTAGAGATAGGTGGCTAATTGAGGAGCTAAAATATATCTAGCCCAAGATTATTTGGCTCTGGGACCCATAACATTCCAACTCTCCAAAATCAGTGAAGTTCTAATCAGCTTTGTAGAATGTGTAGCAACGGTGTGGCTTGTTCCACAGTTTTGGAGTTTTGATTAGTACCAATATGGCTTATCCCTTTACTAAAAAAGCTGGGTTGCTTTTTCTACCCATGATGAATAGTCAAGAAGTGTTTCTAGTGTTGAAGACTTGGGCCCATGGATGCCAAAGGCTTGCTTCTAGGCTGTGCTGACATACTCAGAGCCATCCAGCTGCAAGCCCCAAGAATAGGGATCTATGGCTGCAGACTCCATGACCAGACTAGTGGTTGCAAGTGCTTGGGTTAGAGATTCTAGGTTTCGTACTCAGCTGCTAGTGTTAGACTCTTAGGTGGGCCCTAGGTATCAGGACCCTCACCTAGCAGCTGTCAGTTGCAACTACCCCTGTCAGACCAAGGGTATCTTGCCAGCTTCCCAGAGTTCTGCCAGTAAGGGTCATCTATCTATCTATCTATCTATCTATCTATCTATCTATCTATCTAGTTTTTTGAAACAGGGTTTCTCTGTGTAGCCTTAGCTCCCCTGGAACTCACTCTGTAGACCAGGCTGGCCTCGAACTCCCAGAGCTCCAACTGCTACTGCCTCTCGAGTGCTGGGATTAAAGGCGTGCACCACCACCACCCATCAAACCTGTATTTCTTTTCCCTGACTTTTGGCAGCTTTCTACTTTTTCCCCACTTTCTTCAGTCTTGGCAACTCCACTCTCCCATCTCTGCTCCCTGTTGTGTTCCATGTTCTGTGCCCCTTTGTAGCTCTTGGGCACTTTGAACCTCCTCAGCAGTTCTTTAGCCACTTCTATTCATGTTACCAGTGTAATCCTCTCAAAGGCAGGTGCAAGGAACTAGGGAGATGGCCCGTCAATACAGTGCCCACTGTGCTAGCATAAGGAACTGAATTGGATCAGAACCCATGTAAAAAGCTGGGAGTGCAGCCTGTAATTCCAGTGCTGGGGAGGCACAAACCCTGGGGACTTGCTGGCCACCTAGTCTAGGTGAAAACAGCTAATTCCATATTCACCGACGAATCCTGTCTCAAATCAGGGTAGAAAGCAGGAGGTAAAGGCATCTGATGTTGACCATGTATGTGTGTGTGTGACCTGAAGACAGGTGTGGGAGGAGAAACGTGAGAAGGGAACCTAAGGGAATCAAGGAAGGCATGCTGTGGGAACCCATCGTTGTGGGCCTTCAGTTTGATCCAGCTGTCTTGCCCAGTTCGTACCTGAGAGGGGGAGTGTGGATTGAGAAATGGCAGGTGAAGATGCTAAGAAAATGACAGAGATACAGGATAGAATCAGGGAAATCCAGTGAATACTGTACACGGAATAAACAGACTTTCTTCCTTAATTCTCCAAGCATTTGGTAACCACACCTTAGACTTAATTTCTCATTATCTGACCTTGAGGGTCAAGAGTAACTACACCTCAGACCAAGTCTTTTGTTATATAGATAAGACACCCAAGGCCAAGATAAACATCCTATTGTAGCCATGCCTTAGACCTTTAGGTCTTATGACTTACTAAGGATAGATTTGAACTCTCTGACCTAGAGCCAAGGTGAAGCAGAGCCATCTTTATGAGCCCTGATAGAATGCACTTGAGGATAGAGAGTGGGGACTGTGCCCTTGAACTGTGTTTATAATGCTTACACCTGAGATGGCACCAGGGATTTATCACAAGAATGCAGGGAAGAGGTTAAAAAAAAAAAAAAAAAGCCTGGGTCTCAGGTGGCCTCATGGTGAAGAATTTAAACAGAATCTTACTATGTAGCCCAGGCAGGCCTAGAACTCACAATGACCTTCCTAAGGACTGGGATTACAGCTGTGCATCATCAAGCCAGTCTCCAACCTGTTTCTTTAAATTCCAGCTGCCAGACTATATATTGATGAGTATTAAGATGGTCATGAGCTCCATGCAGGTGCTTTTGCCTTTTGGGTTCTGTCATAGAGTTCCTGCTCTTCACCCTCCACCCAAACTCCAATACTGGGCATTGAACCAAAGCCATAAACATGCTTAGCCAGTGCTCTGTTAGCCCCATCCCTCACAGGAATTTTAGAGATTGAGTTCTACCCCTGACCTACACCCCTAGCACTGTAATGTAAACTAAGCTACACCCTAGCCTCCCACTGGGGGATTCTAGGCAGGTGCTCTACCACTGGGCCACACTCCTAGCCCTTGTTTTATGTTTTATTTTGATACATAGTCTCATTGTGTAGTCCAGGATGACCTTAAAATGATGATCCTCCTGCCTCAGCCTGCTTGCTGAGTGCTGGACTGACAGGCCTGCACCACCACACCTAGCTATTTTACATCTCAAGTCCCCAACAGTAATAGATTTGTGCTCACTTGCAGCTGATGACTGCCCATACAAAAATTGTGTGACTTAAAGTTACAAAATTAGAAAATAAAAATGAGACCCATTGAGAGTGCACTAAAGACGGCCCCTGCAAGGATGTTTCCAGCCTTCCATCAGAAGAATTCCATTATTGATGCTGGGCGTGCAGGCTGTGCATTGATTTCCTCAACCCACAGGAGCCACCTCCTCTCAGCATGCAGTGCAGTCACCAGCACGAAATGTATCCACATGCTCCTCCTCCCACCATAAGGGTCTTTGGCTCATGGCCAGAGCCAAGGCCTCCAAAGAGGAACTCAGCCCCTCGCAGACTGACAGTTGTGGAAGTGTTTCCCAAGGCAATAGAATGGCAATCGAGGACAAATGGGACAGCAGGGGAACAGCCGGTGCAAAT